CGGGGCCGGGGCCGGGGCCGGGGCCGGGGCTGGCAGGGAGCAAGAGGGAGCTGCACGGAGGGAGCAGGTGGAGAGGCCCCCCGCCGCATGCATGGCACCCGGCCCCTTCCCTGCAGCCCTGCGCCGGCCACTCGCCTTCGCCCCGCAGCCTTGGATGTGCAGTCTGGTGTCTTCTGAGGAACTGATGCTTTCGGTCCAGACTCCCCACCGATGGCTCTGATCTCCTTTGCTGCTCCCTTGACCCCCAGCCTGGGACCCTCGGCCTCTCTGTCGGGAGTGGGGATGCTCGCTTTCCTCCTGGAAGGCTGTGCCAGCCACCTGCCAGTCGGCTCGGAGTATCTTTCCATCACGTGTCCCTGCCTCGCTGGGTCGTCGAGCCCTCTTAGTCTGTGAAAATTCCCCCGGCTTCACCAGTATCCTCCGGGGCTGCTGTCTCTTTGGCTTTCTGGTCTTCACCCACCCTATTCCTTGGCCACATCCTATTCAGACCTCGCCCTCGGCTTGTCCTGCCCCTTCAGAGGCATTGAGGAGAGTGGCCAGCTTCACGTGGAGGTAGGGACAGAGGTTGTCCTTGTTTAATAGGATACTGGCTGCAGCGGGAACAATTTGGAAGCCATGGGCCGTCGGCTCATCCATGGTCTCTCTGGAGCCGCAGTCTTCCTTGTCAGCGTGGCTCTCCTCTCCGTGCGACACCGTGGGGCTCAGGAAACAGCTCAGTACCCAGGGCTCAGGGAGGGGATGTGGGAGAAGCCGGAGCGACGGAGCAAAGTGAGCCCAGAAGGTGCCATGGGAGGAGGTGGCAGGGGGCAGAAGGACCTGCAAGTCCACCCTCCGGAGGGATACAGGACTGAGGGAAGCCTGACTCTTGGCGACATTTTCATAGCCGTGAAGACAACCAAGAGATTTCACCAGAGCAGGATGGAGCTGCTCCTGGACACGTGGATATCCCGAGCAAGAGAGCAGGTGAGCACGTGGATTTGGGCTAGAGAGGGGGTGTTTGGTAACGGGGCAGAAACGGGGTGTTGGGGGGGGGGATAAAGGCCAAAGGAAGGGGAGGCTGGGCACTGCAGTCCCACTCAGAACTTTGCCTCGTTTTCCCTAATTCTTGCTTCTGTTCACGTTGAAAGGGGGATGCTACCCAGCAAAATGTTTCACCGGTAGCTGGTTCATGGGAAAGGCTGGCAGAGAGGATGAAGAGCTTGTGTGGGCCATTCCCATGAAGGCTGGGAGGACAGTGCTCTTAGCAGGCATCACCTGCCCCTAACCTAAGCCTGACTCAGCTTGAGGTGGAGGGGATTTAATTTCCCTTTTTTATCCAGTAACACTGGGGGCCACAGACTGCCTGGGCCACACCAGACTGAGAGCACAGACTGTCCTGGGTCTGTATGAAATGGTGGGTTTCTACCTCCTAGTCCTATGAGTTACCTAGGTTTCGAGCTGAATGGCTCCCCCTGGCCCTCCATCAGGATGCCCACATTGCGCCTGGGCACCCTTCGCCCTGGGACAGTGTGGTGCAGCGGGCAGGAGAGCGAGGCTGCAGGACGTGGGTGCAGGAGGGGTGTTTGCAGCCCTGTTCGCTCCCCAGCACATCAGTACAATCCATGCCTTGCTTTCTTGGGCAGATCCCCTCATGTGCATGATCTTGAAGTGATGTGGGTCTATATTTGACTTTTTAAATTTTTTTTTTTAACTGGGGGTCTGATGTTCTCAGCCTTTGCTAAAGCAGAGTTTGGAGAGTTTCCTTCCTGTTAGAGGAACTGATGTGGGGCACCACGTTGATGGTGCTGTGCAGACTGGCTTACTGGTGGGCAGAAGTACTCCCGAGAGCCTGGGTACTTCTCTCCCTCCCTCGCAGAGCTGCTCCTCAAGAAAGAAGAAATCCTGTGGCTGCCCCCAAAGGGTTGTTTTTTTTTTTTTGCCTCTGCGCCCGTGTGTGATGGGCACCTAGAAGACAAATTCAGGCCTCAGCGAGGGAGGGGGATGGGGGCGGAGGTATTGGGTAGGAGAGCGCTTGAAGCAATGCAGGGTTTTCTGGGTAAGGGTGGTTTTCCACTTCATGGTGCTGCAAGTGTCTGGTCTGCTGCGGTCGTCACAGGAAGCCATGTCCTATTTTGAGCACGCTTCCTCTCCTGTCTGTTCGTCCCTCTCAGCATCTGAGATGCCCTGCTTCCTCCTCCAGATGCACTTCTCCTCTCCGCCCGACCTCAGCCCAGCCGCTCTTTGGAGAAAACAAACCCAACCACATGGCTGCACTGGCATTAAGATATTGTGACTGGGGCTTTTGGAGTGGGTTTTTAAGGAGCAGCTCACCTTTCCCTCCTCGTGTGTTTAAGAAATAGGTGCCTGGCCATTCTGCTGATGACAGGAATTAGATACCAGCTCCCCAGGTTCATCTGACCCTCTCTGTTTGGCAGGCAAATGATGTCCAAAGCTGGGAAGAGGTGTTGAATTTTCCATGCTGCTGCCAGCCTGTAGGAAAGCTTCACAGACTGAGCAGAATAGGAAAGAAGGAGCGGGAGCATCAGTCATTTTTAAACTGTTTTTTCATTGTTCTCAATTTTTGTTGCAAGCTCAGTGTTTTCCTCCCCACCGCCTCAATTTCCCATGTTTTTCTTCTCTTTTATTTACTAAATGGCCTTGAGGGCAGGGGAGCGGGGGTGGGGAGGGAGGTAAAGAGAAGTACATGAAAGTCAAAAGCCTTTTTTTTTTTTTAAATATGCTGCTGCTGGAGGGGTTTTTTGGAGGTAGGGGAAAGGGTTAGTTTTGAAAAATTGACAAGATAGAAACCTCGCTTAGCAAAAAAAAGAGAGCTGTCAATTTGCAAATGACATTTAATTGTTGTGGGGACAGGGATAGGGCACTAGACCTCCTATTATTGAGTCTTTATGGAGAGGCATAGGCTTTATGAGCCAGTCTCAGAGAGATCCAGGTCTCAGAGGTTGCCTCCTCCTAGGGCTGACCCACCGTCTTGCTGTCTCACTCGCCCTTACTCATGGCTGGAGACGGATTCAGTGGGTCCTTCTCTGCAGGTGGCCAGCGGGGAAATTGTAGCAGCTGGCTGTGCTGCTGATGCCAAGCCTGGTTTCAGAGCTGATTACCTGCATGGTGTCCTCCCGGAGGAAGCAACCCAGACCTCACAGGTCAGGCTTCGGTGACTGTAACAGGAGGCAGGACAGCTGTGGTTTTTATGGCTAGAACAGACTGTATGGGAGCCAAATTAAAAATCCTCTATGTTGGACTCTGTTGGGATAGACAATAAGAGACATTTTTCCTGAAACTGCACTGTTTAAACAGAAGATATGCAGCTGGTGGGAGACGGGGAAGGGGAAGTGTGGGGTGGGTGCTCTTCACTGGAAGTTGGACCATGCTCTGCCTCTTGAGAACTGATCCATGACAAACTTTCCACTGGAGCTTGATGTGGAAGTCATTTCAGCGAAAGGCCTTTTCCTCAGAAAAGGCTTCATCTAAACTGGAGTGTCAGTTTTGATGACTGTTTAGGCTGGACAGCATCTTAGAGTGGCTTACATTCTTGGCCTCAGTAGTTTTGATGGAGATAAGTCTAGGTTTCTGGTCTGAAATTTTGTTTGGTAACGTAAACTAATGCTAGCACCTCCCCTCCTTTCAGAAACTCAAACATCCAACCGATTAAAATGAAACCTTTAAATGACCCATCCTGAACTGGCTTTCACATTTTTCAGTGTCGTGAACACACCATAGATTTCGAATCTCTTCTCTGGGCAGGGGAACAGCTTCCTGCCCAGCCGCACCAATAACCCATAACCAATTTTGGAGGCTGTTTCTTCCTGGAGGAGGGATACCCTGGGAACCTGGGAGATGAATGTGGTCATGGCTTGTCAGATTCCACATCTTTATTCCCTTTTCCTAGTTTTGCCTTGCTAAGCTACTTTCCCAGTTTGGGGTGAGGGGGCCTCAACATCTAGTGTTTACCAATTGCATGGGCACTTATGTTAGTGGAGAACTGCCAGGCAAAGCCGTTGGACACCAGTGGCTCCATATCACTGCTGGCACTGCCATCCAGCAGACATCCTTTCCTATCCAGCCATCTTCGCTCTAGAATGGAGGAATGCCTTCTGTGCTGCATCCCTCCTCAAGCCCAGATCAGCTGCCCTGCAGCAGCAGTGACAGCCACCCCAGGCTGCTCTCAGTGCGGATGGGAGCCGGGCTCTGTGATTTCTCCCCACCCCTGGCAGGAGGAACCGTGCTGGGCGCGACGTGGTGGAGGAGGCGAGTGGGAAGCTGTGGCTGAATGGCTGCTCCACGAGCCCACAGGCTGCCTGCCAGAGTAGGCAGCCCGTGAGCACTGAGGCACCACGACAGGAGATCCTGCATGGCCCCATAGATGGTCTGGTGGAGAACAGGAGGGTGGATATAGTGGGGAGGCTGCTTCTGTCCACTGCATTTGCCTGCAGGGACACAAGTGACACTGGGTGTTCCCTACTTGCACATCCCCAATGGGGAGAGTAGGTCTGGCATGGCTAGAGAGACCTTCTGAATCTCTTCCAGGCTCCATTAATATGAACAACAGCAGCTGGTGTCTCCTTGACAAAGACCTGTGTAATGGGGCCAAATGCTTTCCAGGCAGGTTTTTAGCCGGGGCCCTCCTCTCTCTCTCCCATCCCAGCCATCATGTGCGGCTTTGCTGAGGGACACACGGCAGCAGTCGCTCGGATTCCAGCAGCAGCTGCTGTTCCAGATTTCCTGCTCTCGGAGGCATGAGGGATGGAAGGATGAGGATGCAGGCAGCTTCCTGTGCTGTTGTGGTCTCCTTCAGGACAGAGCCAGGGCACACCCCCCCAGCATCTCTGGAGTACTGCAGCCAGGTGTACCACCGAGATCAGAGTTTGGGAGAGCCAGAGAAATGAGATTTGCCTAGCCCCCACACTCATAGCCCCTTTTTCCAGTTCTTTTGGGAAGTCTGGTGTTCCCCGTGGTGACAATGCTCCTTCATCTGTGGGTTCCCACAGAAACATGTCGGATGTCTGCAAAAAAGCATTTCCCACCTTGCATCAAGAGGAAAGTGGGAACCTTGGAATATTTTCACAGGTAGAAAATCTGGGAAAAGATACAGATTCTCATTTTAAGTCAATCAGATATGATGTTTATTAGCTGATTTTATATCTGTAAGCAAGTCATTTCCAGCAACAACATTTCTGTTTTTTTGAAAATGTCAGAAAGTTTCAATGGTTTCAGAACATTTTTCTTAAGATGAAATATTTGTCATAGTGGAAATTTCTGGCTCTGACACGCTAGCGAGGGAAATCCTGTGCCACTGACAATCCCTGCCTTGCCTGAAGGTTGTGATATGGTCCCCTGACCCAGAGCGACTCCTTTACCTGAGACTTAGCTAATTGCTTCTTGTCCCGTGATCACCTTGAAAGTGGTTTTAACTAAGAGACTTCACCAGGGGGGTGGGGTAGGAATGTGTGTGTGGCCCGTTGCTGCAGCTCAGCTGTTGGAGGGTAATTCACCAATTACCCATACATTTGAGATCATGAAACCATCCTGCTGCCTCTGCTCAAGCCAGGTGGTCTCTGAGGGTCCTTCATTGCCTTCCTTTCGTGTGCCACATCCTCCTGATGGGGGCATATCTCCCAAATGCTGGGTGGGTGTGGGGAGAAGTAGAGACTTTCATCTCCTCATCAGAGCCTTTGGGACCAGTGACGGCTCCTGGAGCTGTTGTCTGCCTGGCTCGTCCCCTTTGTCCCTGGCCAGGTGCTGCGTTTAACCAGCCTGTGGGCAGCTGGTGGAGAGACTGTTTACGGCTCGCGACTCCTTTTTGATTTCATGAAAGCTCATTTTCTGGCTGAGGAAAGCTTTTTTCCACCAGCCCTGATCCCCGCCTGGCCCTGAAAAGGGGGAGATGTGCCACATAATGGCAGCAAGGGGGATTAGAGAGGCATGGGGGTGGAGGAAGAGGAGGAGGAGGTGGGAAGTGGCAGGGGGCTGTGCACACTTAATACACAAACAGATGTTCTCCTTTTAACCCGAGCGTCATTCAGCCACGGTGCTTTCATTTTTCTACAGCTGACATCTAAGCCAGGGCTCCCTCACCCCCTCACTCGGTGCCACGGGTCCCCTTCTCCCTGTTCCCAAGGCGGTGGGGCAGGGGAAATGAAGCCACACAAGCGCTGATGACGGTGCCATGCGGGAAGGGGGAGCGCGTCCGTCCCTCTGCTCATCTGGCACCTGGGAGGGGGCACGGCAGCAGGGAATGGAGTGGGGTGACCCCAGCGAGCGAGTCTGGCTGCGGGAAGGAAGGGGTGGGTGGCCAGGAGCAGCACCAGCTCCAGCCCTGAGAGTAACTTCCTTTCCTCCTTTCTCCAGACCTACGTCTTCACCGATGAAGAAGACGATGCCCTGAAAAGGAGAATGGGTAATGACCTGTCCTATAACACCACCTTCCCCTCCCTGCTTTCAGCCTCTGAACTGTCACGGCCTTGGGAGGGGGTCTGGCACCCACGAAGCCCCCAAGTGATGATTAGTTTTAGTTAGCTTAACCCAGGGCATGCAGCCGACTGGAGGCAGGGCGCTGTCTGCCTTAAAGCATCCATGGGTGGAAGCAGCCCGAGAGAGAGCCCTTCAGCCCCTGCACCCTGGCTGGCCGTGGGCAGGGTGAAAGTATGGTTGGCAGGTGTCCTAGTCGTGGCCAAGGTGTTTGGCTTTCTCCAGGTTTCATGTCCTGGTAGGGGGAAGGATGGAGCCCATGTCACCGTGGGCTCGGATGCCTGTTCGGGGGGCTGCGAGGAGGCTGGCTGTGAACAAACCCCTTCCCTCCCACCTAGAGGTCCTCCCCGTGACCGTGTGAAGCAGGTCAGCCCCAAGCCACAGCCTTCTCTCTCCTGGCAGGCGACCACGCGGTCTTCACCAACTGCTCTGCCGAGCACAGCCACCTGGCCCTCTCCTGCAAGATGGCTGCCGAGTTCGATGCCTTCCTGGCCAGCGGCCGAAGGTGAGGCAGGGCTGCCGTGGGGGGACCCCTAAGAGCAAGAGGCACCCTCCTTGCTGCAAACCTCTTGTGTCTTCATTCCCTTCTCCTCCCAGCTGGTTTTGCCATTTGGATGACGACAACTACCTGAACCCTCGGGCCCTCCTGAAGCTCTTGTCCTCCTACTCTGCGACGTGGGATGTTTACCTGGGGAAACCCAGCCTGAACCGACCCATCTGGGCCTCCGAAACACTGCCAAACAACCAGACGGTACAGCCTGTAGTGATGGTGGTGGGGCCAATGGGTTGTTTTTAGTGCTCTGGCTCATTGGCTGTAGATGTACCCCAAGGAGAGACAGGTCCAAAGAGCAACAGGCAACAGCTGAAAACTCGCCAGTCTTGTCTGAACACGGTTGTAGGTGTTGACTCAATCCAATCTACCTAGGGAGGGTCCCACGGTGCTGCTGCACCTTTGGGTACCTGTCTGCCAGGAGATAAGCCTGCCTTGGGCAGCCCACCTGCTGCTGCCTGCAGGAGCTTGGCCGTTCCAAATATGAGGAGGTCAAAATCCATGCTGTACTGCTGGCAACTCCTTCTGGGCAGCAGTCAGGGGTCTGGGGTGACAATAGGGCTGTGTTTATCCTGGCATCAAAGCTGGGTTTCCAGCATTGCCATCTCAGGAAGTATGGTATTGTCTGAGCCTCTGCCATTGATTTTGTCTGCTGTTTCTCTCCAGAAATCTGTGCACTTCTGGTTTGCCACGGGAGGAGCTGGGTTCTGCATCAGCCGCAAGCTGGCAAGCAAGATGGTGCCTTGGGCCAGGTGAGCTGTGCAGCTGGTGGGTACGGGAGCCTTTGGGGACGAGGAACTCGGACGCACATTAATTCTTGGCAGCGTCAGATCTGGATTTGTGTATGTGGTTGTTGCAAGGATGTTTGCAAGGGTGCAGTGTGCCATGTGCTCCACATCTGCGAGCATGTGGGACTGGAGGAAGGATGTAGTGGGTGGGTCTGCCACCTGATTAAAAAGAGGCAAGAGCAGGCACGAGAGCAAACATGATCATAGGATGACACAATCCTCCCTCCCCAACTCCCTTCAGCTCTTGGTTATCCCCCCAGACTCCTTCCCATCCTTTTCAGCTTCCTCTGACTCTTTTCCTAAGTGCTTTCCCTGTCTGCCTATCTCCTCTCCCCTTAATCTGCCTCTTTCCAACCTCCTGTACCTCCCTCCTGAGTTGATTTCCCATTCCCCCACCCCAAACCCTCTTCAGCTTCTTACAGTGGCCACTGTTACTTCCTCAGCTTGGTGCATGGAGAACAGAGGTAGGCCCTGGGGTGTTGTGTTAGTCCAGCCTACAAGAAGATGATGTTTTCCAGGATGTCTGAGGTTCTATCACAGGCTATATGCACATACTCTGATAGGCAATGGCTGTGCCAGCCTTAACCAGATCTGTGCATACCCAGAAAGACAGATCTGATCCACACCAGGTGGCTGGTTTAGCTGAAGCCCATGATATGTACTTTATGGTAGACCCAGAGAGGAGGATGATCTGTGATCTAGGGTGAAATGAAAGGGGCATGGATAGATAACACCTAACCTGGCATAAAGTCTGCCACTACTGTTAAAATGCTTGAAACACATTTGAACTAGCTGAGTTACAGTAGACAATGCTTCATGCTGTGTGGCTGCTTCCAGTTACAGGAGCCTTAAAATTGGGTTTAGCCTGTCATCAAAGGATGGCCAAGCGTGTAGTGTTACATTACAGTGGAGGCATGGATGGCTTATTCAAGCTGCAAGAGACTGTCCTGTTTCATCTTCCTCCTGGTCCTGGCCATGTGGTCCCACTGTTTCTCTTGTGCTGGCTTGTCTGACCCCTCAGGGGCTCAGTGCAGCTCAGCTAACAGCTGGAAAAGTTACTTGGCAAAGTCTGCCAGCTCTCTGCATTAGCTCACCAAGGAGCTGGATATCAGGGACAGCAGCGGACAATTGGTGGGACAGCATGGCTGGGAGTGGTCAAAGAGCAAACACATGCCCAAATCTTTGCAGGTGGAACTCAGGGATTTCTTGCCTAGTTCCAAGATCTACTCTGGTTTTCAGTTAAGTCCTTCATTTATCTCCCACCCAAGTGGATGCCTATATTCCCCCCTACCCTTGTCCTAACCCATGCAGCCCTATTCTCTCCCAGTGGCAGGAACTTCCTGAGCACTTCAGAGCTCATCCGCCTGCCGGACGACTGCACCATAGGTTACATCATTGAGTGCAAAGTCGGTGGGCGGCTGCTGCCCAACGCACTCTTCCACTCCCACCTGGAGAACCTGCAGCTCATCCCCCCATCTCGGCTTACACAGCAGGTGAGGAGGGGAAATGGAGCAAGAGAGAGGTGTGTGAGGAGAGGTGAAGGAGGGGAGCTGACAGGCACATTGCCCCGTTGGTGGCACTGACGTGGATTGAATCAATCGTCTGCTCTTTTGGGGAGGCTTTCCCGACAAATGCTTCTTTGAGATAAGGAGCAGATGTTGCCAGCAGCACGGATGCCTGTCACAATGCCCCTGGGGTCAGTGGTGGGGAGCACATGTGTGGGGAGTGATGCGAGGATTGAGAGCATCCTTGGGGGAACATGGCACAAGGACAAGCAGAAATGATGATTGATTGGGGAAGGGGCTTTGACATGGCACCATGTCTGCCTTGCGGGGGGAGATAACAAGGGGTGTAGGGGGCTTGGAGAGGCAAAGGACTAGCATGGTGGACCACCATGGGAAGGAAGAGAGGAGAGGTGGAAGGCAGAGGCCAAGCCAGCAGAGAAGGAACCAGAATGGCACTTTCTGTCGCCCAAAGCAAGTTCCTTGCTCCTGAACTCATTTCACCCTCCCTGCTCCTTTCTCACCACCCCTCTTTGCAGGTCACCCTCAGCTATGGTGTCTTTGAGAACAAGCTCAACGTTATTGAACTCAGCGGCCCCTTCTCACCCCAAGAGGATCCCTCAAGGTACGGGGCATGAGTGCTCTTGGTGTTGCGGGCTCTCAGACAATAGGCTGGGAGGGGGAGGCAGCCAAATGGGGTGCAGGAGGTCTAGAATGAGGGACAGAAACCTTGCAGTCACATGACTTATTGGGTGAGGAGCACACCAGCATTAAGCTGCTTGTGAATGCTTACAAACTTTGCAAACCTTTTTGGATGAGTGGGAAGAAAAGGAGTATCAAAACATTTTATTTGGACAATTCCTGAGCCAAAAGTATTGCCATTTATTTCACATTTTGAGACTGAACAAGCTAACCTTTTAACTCTGGGACAGGAGCAGAAATGTTCTTTTAAACTCAGGAAAGGAAATTCTGCTTGCTTTTTCATTTTTTGTTTTGCTGAGAAAACTGAAGGGAAAAAAGAAAAAGGTTCACTTCAGGCTGACTGCAAACAAAAGTGTTCTTTGATTTACCTTCTCTGCTTTCAGTGAAAAAAACTAAAGTTGTTATTTGCAGAGCATGGGTAGGAAGCTCCTGGCTTGAGATAGCAGGGGTGGGAAGCAGCTAGGCAACGAAAAGAGCATCAACAGAACCATGTAGCGGGGGCTGGTGCAGCACCCATCTCCCTGCCTGTGATCAGGGTGAGCCATGGGCTTGGGCTACATGGGCAGAGCTAGATTCAGGTGTCGGAGGGAGGCTTGGCTGCTTAGCTTTGCTGAGAAAAGACATCTTGAGATGAACAACCAGTCCTGGAGCTCTGTAGTGCAGGGTGGGTGCCTGATGTGGGATGGGACGTGAGGGAGAGGTCTTCCATTCTTCAGCTGTGCACTGGTGTAAAAACTGTCATCTGACCTTCCTTTGCTCTCTCCCCAGCAGGTTTCGATCACTCCACTGCCATCTCTATCCCAACACCTCCTGGTGCTTGCAGGCTGTCAGCTGGTGATGCCTGAGCCTCAGCTACAGTGGGTCCTGGTGACCTTCATTCACCTTGTACATGTGGGGGTTGGGACACTGAAGAAGCTGGGTGCTCCCAACTTTCCCTTTTCCGTGGTGGTCTTGGGGCTGTGTGATGGCTTTTTTGGTCCTTGCTGAATACCGGTGACACAGGACAAGAGACAAGATCTTTGCCAAAGATGGGTAACATGGACTGGACACATGGATGGGCTTCCCATCTGTGCTGGGATACATGCAAGGGATGGGAACAGTATGCCTTCCTGAGCAGATCAAGGAGTGGGTGGTGACTGCTGGGCATCTGGGTAAAGATGGGGACCTGCTGCTGCTCCTTGCTGTGGATTCATCTTGCTGGACTAGAAGGGCCCTGGATATGGGTAACCAGTGCCCAACTGAGGATGGCTGATAGCGTGTCGTGGCTCCAGCCTCTCTGAGCAGGCCCTCTTTCCGCGTCTGTACAGTGGGTCCTGGTGACCTTCATTCACCTTGTACATGTGGGGGTTGGGACACTGAAGAAGCTGGGTGCTCCCAACTTTCCCTTTTCCGTGGTGGTCTTGGGGCTGTGTGATGGCTTTTTTGGTCCTTGCTGAATACCGGTGACACAGGACAAGAGACAAGATCTTTGCCAAAGATGGGTAACATGGACTGGACACATGGATGGGCTTCCCATCTGTGCTGGGATACATGCAAGGGATGGGAACAGTATGCCTTCCTGAGCAGATCAAGGAGTGGGTGGTGACTGCTGGGCATCTGGGTAAAGATGGGGACCTGCTGCTGCTCCTTGCTGTGGATTCATCTTGCTGGACTAGAAGGGCCCTGGATATGGGTAACCAGTGCCCAACTGAGGATGGCTGATAGCGTGTCGTGGCTCCAGCCTCTCTGAGCAGGCCCTCTTCCTCCGTGTCTGCCTGTGCTTTCCCCACCGCCCACTCTTCCCAGCCACAACCCTTTGGCTGAGTTTCTGCTTCGTCAAGGTCTATAGAAATGGAAAATGTGACCATTTCTGTGGTGAATGAGTGCTGGAAAAGCGTAGTCCTTGCCTGGCAGAGGAGAGATGGGCAGGAAGTACAAAGAATCAGGAATCCCCCCATCTGCTGGGACAAAGGAGTGGGTGTGGGGTGGGGGAGTCAGGAAAAGACAGACCGAGATGAGGATGCTTCCTGCACTGAACATTGAAGGCTTGATCTCGTATGGCCCTGCATTATTCCTCTCTTTCTACCTTCTTGATACGGGCGCAGGATAATCTCTTGCTCTAATTACCAACCTGTCATCTGAGATTAGACTCCAACTCCTACCTGTGAGAGAGGAGACATAAAGGATTAGGACTGGCTGAAAGAGAGGAGAAAAGAAGAGATGGAGAAGGAGCGCTCAGGAGCAGATTAGAGGTTACAGCTTTATAATCTTCTCTGTGCCCCAACCAAAAAATTAAGTCATGAAGGAATGGAAACAGCAAGGCAAAGAGCTTTTTATCTCTGCGTTTCTTTCCTCCAGATGCTAAGAGCAGCTTTCTGCCTTCGTGCTGTCCCTGCTGAGCACAACAGGGGGAAGGAGCAGGCCCAAATAGGTTATGAGCTTTCTGGCACATTTGTGGAGAGTCCTTTTCTCAGTACAGAGCCTGGCATGAAAGCTGGGCAATTCTGATTGCTGGGTAATGAATCTGGGCACCATTTTATCCTTGTACACATGGTTAAATGGCTGGGGGAGAGCGTTGCAGGGAAAGCTGGAAGTCAAAGAGGCTTTTTTAAATGGCAGGTGGTGCCACAAACAGGTATTTCTCTTCAAAAAGCCTTTCAAAACACACTGCTGGGATCTGTGAAAGATTCCTGTAATCTCCAGATGAAAGGACAAATGCCCTTTCTCCGAAGAGCTGCTTAGCTTTGATGCTGCTGATGTGACTAAGCCTGCTGCTGGTGGGCTGGAAGAGCCAAGGGCAACTATCACTGTGCCTCTACCATTTTGAAAACTGGCCACCCTGTCGCCTCCTCCCCCTCGACCCCCAAGCATAGCACACACGAGGTTTAAAGGAAAGGCATCAGAATGACCTTCCACATCTGCAAAGGGGGATCTAGAAATGAATGAGCACTTTAATTTCTGGAGAAGCAGAAAGCAGGAGCCTGTAGAGCTGTTTTCCAGCCTGGTCATTCTTACCAGCATTTAACCAGCTTGTGAAGCAGCAGCGAGCCCTGCTTTCTTCTCTTGCACAGGAAGAATTTCCTGAGCAGGGACAGGAGCTAGCTAATGCCAATGACCATCCCTTGGGTCATGCAAAGCACTTGGCTCACACAGCTATGCGAACCTAGGAACCATGCGGCTCAAAACAGAGACACCCAACTATTGGAAGGGAGGTGCAGCATAAAGAAGTCCTACCCCACAGGGCAAATGATTTGAACTTAACCAGAAGATGAAAAATGCTTCCATGAGAAGTGAGAGTCTTCAAGAGAAATCTACACTACCCGGATATCTTCTTTTTTTTCCCATTCAAATTCTCAGCTGTTGTTGTTTATTGAGTCTTTGAGTTAAAAAGCCAGTCCTATCTGTAGATGTCCTGGTGGCAGTCAAAGCAAAATGCGATTCATGTGCCTGGAGGAGGAGAAGAAACTGGCAGAGCGGACTCCCTTCCCTGGGGAAAAGCAAGGCACAGAAACTGGAAGCCTGCTTCGGATCCTGGCCTCAGCTGGTCTGAACTGGCCTGGCGCCTTTTACATGGCTGAAGATCAGATGTTAAATGGGTTGAGTCCTTTAGTGGCTGCATGGGGACCGGTTTAAGACTGGGCTTCATTGCTGGAGCAGTTAAGTGCCACTTCTGTGGAAAATGTCTTGTCTCATAAGGAAACCGAGAACAGATGAGAAGATGTCTGGGGCAGGGCATCTCTTGGGCTGTAGAGAAACGAATGACAGAAAAGTCCTGTTATGCCTGTGACGACAATGCGCTGGAAAGAAAATAGCTTCTCAGAGTCGACAAAAGAAACCAGGTTTTCTCTAAGAACAGAGAGACAGCTTAAGGGGACGTTCACCACATGAAATCTGATCAACGTTAAAACCTGAGTTAAAATTAGTTTCAGGAATGGTTCCTGCCCCTGGGGCTTGCTGTCAGATGTTGTGGTTTTACAGTCTCATTTTCCTAGTTTATTAAAATGTTTAGCTGCTGGGGAAAATGAGAAACAACCTCACGTGAAACTTTTCAGGGGACTGGCTTTTTTTATTCTCCTTCAGGACTTTCCGATGTAAGTGTTAAAGTTTTTGGAAAGGTTCCACTGGGTCTATTAAATTTTCTTTTTTCTCTTTTTCTTTTTTTATATCGCTCTTTCTCCTTCTCTCTCTCACACTCCCTTTTCTCATTGCAGGAAAAAAACCCTATCCCAAGAACGAAAAGGGATGGAGAAGTGGTCTTTTTATTTTACTGGGAAAAATGGGGTCAAAGTCAAAAGGTGTTGGTGTGACCCTGCTGTTGTACAACATTAAGTGTAGTTCAAGGTTTCAAGTACAGAGGCCTTCGCCTGACCAACACCATAGCAACCAACACTATTAATGATGTTTAAGCTGTATACTGAAGATTCAGAAAAAGGAGAAGGAGGGGAAAAAAAGCAGTTACAGTATTTGAAATGTAAAGTATTAAGTGAGGCTTTCATGTTAACAATATCCTTTCTTCACTTTCTCCTTAGCTGTGAAGAATTTTTCTAAGGAAACCCCTATTTGACAGTGCAAAAAAATGCTAATGACTATCCTTTCTTTAGGGGGAAAAGAGAAGTTAGTTGAAATAGGTGGGAAACTGCAGTTGTTGCTAAAGGCTTGAAGGGGAGAGAGAAGAATAGCAACGCTAGACAATGCTTCTGTCCCTGGTGCCAACTCCTCTTAGCAACTCTGCTGCCAAAGAAAAACAGATTTCTAAGCCACTGTGGGATTTACCCGACTCGTACTCAGATCGCAGCCTTCAGCTCTCTCCCCAGGCCTCTTGCTAAAGATGCAGCCTTCAAAAGATGAGCAGTTTATTAAACAGAAGCCAAAAGGTGAGAAATAGGAACAAGAAGAAAGGAGATTGGAAGGAAAGAAACCACCAAGCAGGGCCTTGGAGGACAGCAGGGTTATTTAAGCTGTGCATTGAAAGTGCTGTTTGGGAGCTGCCCAGCAACAGTGGGAAAGGCGGTGTTGCCTGCACCCCCAGCTCTGGATGTTTTTGTGATCAGGACAAGTTTAGCCCACCAGTGCCAGAGAAGATGCCAGCCTGTGAGTCAGAGTTCACCTTGGAAGAGGTGAGATCAGGCTGGTTGGCCCCAAACCTTCTTATTTTTCTTTTTCTTTTTTTTTTTTTTTTAATAACACTCCAGAGAAGTCAATGTGTTTTCATCTGACAGTTATACTTCAGTCCTTACAGCAGATTTGGCCTCTTAATTTCAACGAAACCTTTTTTTTTTTCTTTTTTTTTTTTTTTTTTTTTTTAATAACACTCCAGAGAAGTCAATGTGTTTTCATCTGACAGTTATACTTCAGTCCTTACAGCAGATTTGGCCTCTTAATTTCAAGGCTTCCTCTGCCCTTGCTTGCAATGCAGGCTCTTCAGACAGTCCAGGGGTGGGATCAGCAGCTCTTGTCATTCATTTATTTAATTTCTTTTGTCTTCAATCCCTGAAAAACCCTACAAGACAGCTAGCTTGCCCTTTTGCACCACTGGCTACCAGGGCTGTACACACCTGAGCACATTTCTGGGGTGGATGCAAAGGCGAAGGAGAGTGACCGACTCCTCCATTTGGTAACTGCATAGGCAGAGAGAGACATGGACCATCCTTATGTTCTTCCTCAAGGCACCTGCTAGCAGCTGGTGCCAGAGATGGGATCTCATACTGACTGGGACTTTCTTCTGTCCCAAATACTGCTGGGCTTATGGCTACACTGAAGAGGATGCATTACCATAGGCATAAGCAAGGCCAGGAAGAAGAGCAGCATCACAACTGTACAAATAACTGTCTGTTTTCACCAGCTGATGCAGGAATTTTT